TCAGACCTGCAGCACACCAGTACTGAGCAGGCCCCCCAAGTCTCTGCTCAGTGCTGAGCTGGAGAAATGGTCCAGTGATGGAATTGGATAAGCCAGTGGAGTAAGAATGGGAAGAAAGGACTGTTCCTAAGGACCCGCATCACTGTTGTCTTTCCCTCTGAGTCTGGCAATGACTTTGGTGCCTTAGGAGGGCATGTGGTTCTCTTTGGAGAGAGAATGGTAGGAGGTGGAGTTACTGCTTTGTTTATTATGTTCTTGCCTTAGTCCAGCTAGGATTGTGATGTGGATTGAGAACAGTTTTCCTTGTTCTCTTTGAAGAGGGAGAAGGGTGGACATGGCCAGCACTGTTCTGTGCAGTCCCTGGGGAGCAAAAGCCTTCCCAAGGCCAGCTCAAGCCCCCCCACCGTGCCGCCCTCATCTTCAGCCTTCATCAGGTCTGAGGCAGGCAGGACTCACATCCACCATCTTGCTTCTAACTATTCAGAACACGCTTGGGGGCTCTGTAGAAGTCAGACCCTCCATGCCAGAAATCTGGACTGCTGAACCGTGGTGCCACACCCTTTAATCCGGCATTTAGGAACCGGGCAGCTGGATCTCTGAGCTCAAGGCCAGCCCAGTCTACAGCACTAGTTTCAGGACAGACAGAGAAACCTTGTCTCAAAAAAAGAAAAGAACGAAAGAAAGGAAGAAAGAAGAAATGTGTGAACCAGAGGGAAAATTTGGGTTCTCTCTCTCTGCATTTATGGTGTGAGTGCATGGGTGTATGTGCCTTCATGGACAGAGGTCTATTTCAAGTGTTTTATTCTCTTGTGTGTCCTATGAGGTTTTGTTGGTTTGTTGGGGTTTTTTTTTTTTGTTGTTGTTGTTGTTTTGAGTCCCCACCCCCCCAGACAAGATTTTTATATAACTGTCCTGGCTGTTCTGAAACTCACTCTGTAGACCAGGCTGGCCTTGAACTCAAAGAGATCCACCTGCCTCTGCCTCCTGAGTGCTAGGATTACCCACCCAGCATGGTTTGATATTTTGAGGATGGGTCTCACTGTGTATCCCAAGCTGACCTAGAAGTCACAGAGGTCTTCTTGCCTCTGCCTTTGGAATCCTGGAATTAGGTGAAGCCGTACACCACTTCTCCTAGCCCATTTTATGTTTTTAGATAGAGAATCTGTCATTGACTCTGGAACTTACCAAGTCAGCCAGCAAGCCCCAGTGACTCACCTGTCCCTACCTTCTGCATCCCACACATAGCTTTTACATGGGTACCGAATCCAAACTCAGGTCTTCATGCTTGCCATGTAGGTTTTTATTTCATTCTATATTTATTTATTTACGAGACAGGGTTTCTCTGTGTAACAGTCTTAGTTGTTCTGGAACTAACTCTTGTAGACCAGTATGGCCTTATTTTATTTTTAAGAGTTACTGTTTTGTGTGTAGTGTGTGTCCTGAATGTGTGTGAACTACCTGCATGCGGTGCTGACAGAGACCAGAGGAGAGGGTCGGATTGCCTGGACTCAGTCACCATGCAGGTGCTGGTATTTGAACCCCTGTCTTCTGAAAAGCAGCCAGCGTTCTTTTTATTTAAATATTTGTTTTATGTCTCTGAGTGCTCTGTCTTCATGCATACCTGAAGAAGAAATTAGATCCTATTAGAGATGGTTGTGAGCTACCTTGTGGCTACTGAGAATTAAACTCAAGACCTCTGGAAGAGCAGCCAGTGTTCTTCACCTCTGAGCCATCTCTCTAGCCCCTTGAGTATTTTATTTTAAATTGCTTTTTGCTGAAAATTCTGTAAGATACCAAGATTCTCTAGGTGTGCCCCTTCACTCTTGAGAAATTCAGTTGGAAATTTGAAACCGACTTTTCTTAATTGTGTAAAAATGGCAATTAAAAAGTTAAGCCCCTGGGATTAGAGAGATGTCTCCGTGGTTGAGAGCAGTGGCTCTCTTCCAGAGGACCCTGGTTCAATTCCCATCACCCACATGGCAGCTCACAACTGTCTGTTAACTCCAGTTCCAGAGGATCTCACACCCTCACAAAGACATACATGCAGGCAAAACACTGTGCACATTTAAAAGAAAAATTTTAAGCCATTTTATCATGAGTTAAATATAAGTGCCTCTCATAATGCTGTCTGAAAATTTTAATAAAATTAATAAAATGTCTTTTTTTTGGGGGGGGGGGTTCGAGACAGGGTTTCTCTGTGGCTTTGGAGCCTGTCCTGGAACTAGCTCTGTAGACCAGGCTGGTCTCAAACTCACAGATCCACCTGTCTCTGCCTCCTGAGTGCTGGGATTAAAGGCGTGCGCCACCATCTCCCGGCCTAAAATGTCATTTTTTATTTATTATCATTAAACAGTTGTATTTTGAAATGTGAATTTATAGCTAGGAGTTTTTTTGCCTATAGTTTATTGTGTGTATGTGTGTATAGAGGCCAGAAGTCTCATGTTGGGTGGCTTCTTCACTGCTTTCCACCGTAGGTTTTTAAGAGTGTGTCTGTGGCAGGAAACGAGTGAGTGTATGTTGTGTGTCTGTGGAGATAGAACAGGACATAGGTTCACTTGCAACTGGAGTGCAGTCCTTGTGAGTCGCCTGACTTGGGTGCTGGGAACTCGGGTCCTCTGGAAGAACCTTATGCAGTCTTGGCAGCTAAACTGTTTCTCCATCCCTTCCACATTACTTTTTAGACAAGTTCTCCCACTGGCCTGGTAATCAGCAACTAGGTTAGGCTGACTAGCCAGTGGACCCCAGGGATATTTGATGGCACCATGAAACTCCAAGACGGTGTTAATGCAATTAACCTTGGATAGGGGCGGAGCCAGCCTCTTGTCAAGAATTAGCCATAGAGAGTACCAAGGACCTGGGAGAGAGAGAGAGATAGGGAGAAACTTAGAGATTCGCAGGCCTTTTTGGTTTGGGGTGGAAGGGGAGATGCTTTTCTTGCTGGATTTCTGGCCCAAAAGGTAGGCCAGCTGGCTTCTCCTTTTTTTTTTCTGACCTAGCAGGTTTTCACCCCAACAACTGACTCCCAAGTTTTTATTGGTAAATAGAACAATTTAGATAAAAGACAACACGGGGTTTGCCTGTCTCCCCCTCTCAGCACTGGCTTACAAGACGAGCTTTTCACACAGGTTCTATAGATGGAACTCAGGTCTGCAGTACAAGTGCCTTGCTGGCTAAGCTGTCCCTTGGTGCCTAGCTTGTGTTCTCAGGGTAGACCCCTGCTGTTCTGTTTTGAGACAGACTCTTGCTGTGTATTTCTGGGATTTTGGTACCTTATGTGGTAGCTTAGGCTGACCTTGAACTTGTAGCCACCACCTGCCTCATCCTGAGTGCACACCACCCCGCCTGCCTAGAAGTTTAGATGAAGAAAATCCACATATGTGTTAGTGTGCATTCATGGCAGCCAGAAGAGGGCGTCAGATTCTTACAGCTGGTCTCACTGCTGCTTGGCATGGGTGTTGGCATCTCAACTTTATTCTTAGAAGAGCAGAAAGCGCTGTTACCCACCAGGCCTTCAACTCTCCAGGCCTTCCTTCTTCAATTTGACTCCATCTTGGCTACCCTGGTTCTTACTACCTAGCCAAGACTAGCTTCAGACAGTGGTCCACCTCCTTCAGCCTCCCAAATTGAAGAACTGTATTATAGGGTTGCAGCATTAGGAAGGTTGGGAACCACTGTTCTCTAGTCTATCCTTAACTGGGATAGAAGATTAAACTCTTCCTTTGTGAAGGGCGTGTCCAGTGCAAGCATATGTGTCTGTTGCTCATGTAGTAAGTCATTGATGTGTAACACTGTGGTCTCATGTATATTAATATCTAGTACTGAAGTATTTGTTGCTCATAATTATGTTAGCTTTTATCACATGTACGCACTCATAGGTGGTTTTTAAAGCTAAAGCAAAGAAATTGCCAGTTCCAGGCTTGAACAGCAGGTGTCACTGCAGCTCTGCTTCCTTTGCCCAGCTCTGAGCTGGCACTTTTCAGTACAGCTCCCAAACCATGAAACTAAGTGGCTATGGCAGTATGGCACTGTAAGGTGTTCTTCTCATGGGACCCCAGTGAGAAAGTAGGAATAGGCTCAGTGCCCCTCTGTCCAGGTTTTCCCTGGCCTGTGAAGAAAGGAAGGCGTCTACCACTATGTGCGGCCTACACATCTTTTCTAAAAAGAACTTAGGCTGGAGATGTGCCATACAGTTAAGAGCACTGGCTGCTGGAAGAAGAGACAGGTTGTATTTCCAGCACCACTGCTCACTGCTTCTAAAACTCCAGTGTCAGGGAATCTAGCACCCTCTTCTGGCCTCTGACTGCACTGCACACATGGTGCACAGATGGATATAAAGAGATATTCATGTATACAGAATCAAATGAATAAATCTTTTTTTAAAAAAAATTAAAGGGTTAGTGTAGTCACACCTCCCTACACTACAGAAGAACAGCGCTGGTGATGGATTGGGTTACCCTGAACAACCAAGCTGTTCTGAATCTTCAGTCTATTTGCCAGAAAGCATGATATCCTGTGTCTGGTTAGTACTGCTTTACATGGATGTCCTTATTTAATTATTTATAATGCATTTTGCTGTAGCTTCTCTTTTTGGACAGCATATGGTCATTCTAAATTGCCCCCCACGTGGGGTAAGTTTAGGTAAGTTGTGAGCGTAGTCATAACAATAAGTAAGCATTTTTAGCTCTTAAGAATTCTGCCTTCCTGGCGTTTCCAGAGTTAAGCACTGTGAAGTGAAACCACAGAGAGCATCTGACTGGAGCTTCTGGTCTGCTGGCTCTCTGGGGAATGGTCTCCAGACAGCTTCGCGGGCCCACCACAGAACGGTACCAGTGCTTGCCCTTGACATTATTGAAGGCCGAGAAGCAAGTGCACACATCTCGGCAGCTTTCACCGAGGTGGCTGCATTTTCTCGGTGGTTTGGATAGTATTTGGGTTTTTGGTGGTGACTGCCCTGGGCCACAGGTATGCCTGGCATTGATATGAGCTGCTTTCTGTTTCAGATGTCATCTGGGTGATTCTCAGTGTGGAGGTGGGTGGACTGTTAGGAGTAACGCAGCAGCTGTCATCTTTTGAAACGGAATTCAACACACAGCCACATCGCAAGGTAGAAGGAAACTTCAACCCGTTTGCCTCTCCCCAAAAGAACCGACAATCAGATGAAAACAACTTAAAAGACCCTGGGGGTTCCGAGTTCGACTCGATCAGCAAAAATACATGGGCTCCTGTTCCTGACCAAACCGAGCAAGATCAGGATAGACTGTCACAGAACTCTGTAGATCTGTCCCCCAGCAGTCACGCAAACAACTTATCAGTAGTGACTTACAGTAAGGTAGGTGCCCTCGGAGAAGGGGCAGGTGGTGGGCCTTGGGATCCATGACGCTCCTTCCTGGCAAACCTAAAATGCTAGACCACCACTGCCCAGAGCAGATGTGGCTGTCAATAGCATCGACACAAAAGCCTTCTCCTTCCTTCCCTGCGTGTGTGTCCTGTGGCTGCGCTTCATCCACGTGTGTGATTTACTTCTGTCTGCTCTGGTTGGGTATTCAAAACAGAGGCTCTTTACCGTATTACTTTTAAAACTGCCTGGTATCATTAGCCATGTTTTCAGGGCCTGTGTGTGCTGAGCTGAACAGCATCGCAGCACCCATCTGCAGTAGGCTCTTGCTGTGTTGTCTTGGTTTAGGTGGGATTTTCCCCCTGAATAAAAAGCCAGACTCAATTATTTTATCCTAAAATGTTGGCTTTGACTGTTCTGTCGCATACCCTCTTGCTGCTGATGTCTTTAATTTTGCTTTGGTTCATGACTTCCTCCCCTGCAACCTGGAGTGCCTCAAAGTGATATTTTGACTTTGCACATGTGGGAGATAAATAAGAGAATTGATTACAGTTTCAGAGACTCTGCTTGTCAAGAGATGGTTCTGGGTGTTGAATTATTGTGTTTCTCTGTTTTTCTTAGCCAGTTCAGCATTAGCTCCCACTTCACACTGTCAGGTAAGGGCAGCTCCTGACTGCTGGTTTGGTCTGAGCCCTCAGTTAGGGTTGTTACAGCTCAGCCATGTGTGCATTCTCTTCCCGTGACTGCTAGGGTTTCCATGTACAGTACTCCCAAATCCACCTGTGCTGCATGCTGGCATTCAACCTCAAGGTTTAAAATGCACGTGTGTGTGTGTTAGCAGTCAGGGCAGCCTGCTGTGTGGTCAGTCTCAGGAGCAACTTTGTTCACTCGGGCATTCGGATTGATTTGTTGATCGATAGAATAGTTACTGCAGAGACTTGTGCAGTCATCTTAGCTATCTAGGATATATGAAAAGTCAGTTGGCCAGTGACCTTTAAGGAAATATTCCACTTTCTGATTTTTGGAGGCAGGATCCTCCTGTTTGTGCCTACCAAGTATTGGGGTTACATGCCTGGTTCAAGGAAGGCTCCACACGTTAATATTAAAACAAATTTTCTTTTCCATTTTTATTGTTGAGACAGGGTCTGATAGCCTAGATTAGCCTCAAACTTGCTAAATGTATCTGAGGAAGATGGCCTTGAACTTCATGTTTTCCAGTATCTACAAACACTGAACTCAGTCACCAAGCCTCCTTCCATGTCTTGCTGGGATAGAAGGTCTCAGCACACTAGGCAAGTCCCTACCACTGAGCCACATCCTGAACTCAGAATACAGTTGTCACAACCCCTCTCTTGAATTAGACCCCCCCCCCCCCCAAGGCTGTCCCATGACAGCAGGTAGTGTGCCTTGTTATAGGGGAAACGATGCAGCTGAGGTTTGGGGAAGTCGAAAGCTGGTCAAAGCAGCTCAGGCACTCCATTGGTTTCAGGGCAGGATGCCGTTTGCCCAGCTGGGCCCTGTACTGAGCATGATTGCTCTTAGGATGTTCCTGATTAAGGAACTAAAGTCATTTGTAGCTGTGGACCATCTTCTCTTTAAGGGATTGATGCTTCTTAACGGGTCCAGTGGTTATTCACAAGACAGGTGGAGGGTTGAGCCTCCTGCCAGCCTAAGTTCCTGCTAGGCCCTGCTGTTCTTTAAGTGCTGGACAGTGGCGAGGACATTGAACATATTTAATTGATGAGTTGATATAATTTTACCGCTCCCTTCCCCCCACTGAAAAGTAACTTTTCAGGGCTGAAGAGATGGCTCAGTCATTAAGAGCACTGGCTACTCTTGCAGAGGATCCAGCACCCTCTCTGACCTTCATAGGCACCAGGCATGCACATGGTGCACATACGCATACATTTGTGTACTCATTTAGTGGCTTTTTGAGACAGGGATTCTTAGTGTAGTCCTGGCTGTCCCAGAACTCTCTTTGTAGACCAGGCTGGTTTTGAACTCAGAGTTCTGCCTGACTCTGCCTCCTAAGTGCTGGGATTAAAGGCGTGCACTAGCATGCCTGGTTTACACATAAGTTTTTTTAATTTATTTCTTTATTAATTAATTAAAGATTTCTGTCTCTTCCCCACCGCCGCCTCTCCTTTCCCCTCACCCTCCCCCAATACACATAAATTTTGTAATTATTTTTTTTTAGTACAAATAAAAGCAACTTCTCAGTTAGACCCCTCAGTGAGTGAAGGTGCTGATAAACTTGAGACCCACATAGTGGAAGGAGGTTACTGCACTTGTCTCCTGATTTTCACATGCCTGCCATATCATACACACACTAAATAAATAAATTCATTATAAAACAGCTTTCCAGTAAGGAATGTATCCAGGAACCAGGAAAACTTGATTAGAATGGATAAATAATGTGAAACTTGAATCTTAAGAGAAATTAGGGCCTTTGTTGTTGTTGTTGTTGTTTAATACAAGCAAAAATTTACTCAGAAAACAATATGAAGCATCCGGCTAAGTTTTCTATCCAGCTAGGTCTGTTGACTCCACTTCCTTTGGAAGGACACAGGCAGTGTGATCAGTGAGTAGTGACACATCTGCCCTGCGCACAGTCAGAGCCTAGGAAATACAGTGGGAGTCTGTGCCTGCACTGTTTGCCGTGCGTAGGGAGAACAACTGGGTCAGGTTTGCGTCGGTCCACAGAGCGGTCTGCTGTGTAACTTACAGTGGAGAAGCAAGTGTTTGCAGCAGGAGTTGGTGAGCTGGGGTGAAGGAGAGGGACTCACAGACACTGGCGTGCAGAGCTTGAAGTTCTCAGGTCCAGTGCTCCCAATGTGTGTTCCTTAGAAGCAGAGTGGAAGAAACAATCACAGACAGCTTTGAAAATATCGATACTAAGGGAGTGAAGAGATGGCTCAGGGTTTGAGAACAGTGACTGCTCCTCCAGAAGACCAGATTCAATTCTCAGTACCCACTAGCAGCTCACTTCTACCTTAACTTCAATCCCTGGAGCTCTCACTCCCTCTTGTGGCCTCTGTAGGCACTGCATGCAGGACAAAACACTTATACACATAAAAATAAATTAAGATGTATATACACACACAAATATGTGTACATATGAGAAACGAAGATACATGTGAACATCTATTTAGTGTTAAAGTCTGTGAATGGCAGTGAGACACTCAGTGGTCTTTGCTGCCAAGCCTGACAAGTGAGTTCTATCCCAGGTACCACATAATAGGATAGAACCAACTTCCACATTGTTCTCCGGCCTCAACACATACACTATGTAATTTTTTATTTTACTTTTCTAAAATTTTTTTTTATTTTATTTTTTTTATTTTTTTGGTTTTTCGAGACAGGGTTTCTCTGGTTTTGGAGCCTGTCCTGGAACTAGCTCTGTAGACCAGGCTGGTCTCGAACTCACAGAGATCCACCTGCCTCTGCCTCCTAAGTGCTAGGATTAAAGGCGTGTGCCACCACCGCCCGGCTTTTTTTTTTATTTTATTTTATTTTATTTTTAGACAGGGTTTCTCTATTTAGCCCTGACTATCCTAGAACTCTCTCTGTAGACCAGGCTGGCCTGCCTCCCCACCCCAAGAGCTAGGATTAAAGGCGTGAAAAGCATAGGTAAGAGGACTGCAGAAGATGGCTCAGAATTAAGAGCAGCTCACCTGTACACTCACCTGCACCTCCAGTTCCAAGGGATCCAACATCCTACACATGCACACAGACGTTACACTCAGGTCACATACATGCACCCATGTGCACGCACACACAAGCTAATAAAGCGTAGGCATAAGAATAAAGTATATTTATATAGATGTGCTTGAAGTTGTGAAGTGTGTCCTCGGCCAAGTGAGGAGGCTACTTTTGAGTTGTTCCTAAGAGCCCAGACACGCTCAGTTACTTTGCCTGTAGGTGAAGAAACAAAAGTTCTGAGGGGCTGCACGCCTTGCCCAGTGTCACAGAGCTACGACCCCAGTCTAGGTGCCACGTGACCCTTCTCCTGTTGTGAATGACTATGTTGGGTGTCAGCAGGAAAGAGACAAGACGTTCTGATGTAGTGCAGTGTGAAACAAGCCATACAGTGTACAGTAGATGAGCAGAAAGGGATGATAAAATCCTGTCCACAGTTCACCTGGTGCCCTCCACCTTCAGTGTGCCTGATGGACTGCTGTTGGGATCACTGAGTTTAGCAAGAGAGTGGAATTACCCAGGGAAATTCCCGCCAGCCGTGGAGGCTAGGGAAGAACACAATGCTCTTGGAGGCTCTTGGAAGCACGGTCTCTGTAGATACTTTTCCTGCTGCCTCTGTAGCAGAGTAACTTGTTAAAGTTGGGAGGATGAAGTGCCAAGATCTCTGGAGGCCCCTGCTCCATGAGCACTAGGTTATTATTTCGACAGAATTGCACATCTGTCGGTCTTGGGAACTGGACACCCTGGAGTCCTTCCCTGGCTGCTGTGAACAAGCTTACACTCTTGGTGCCCAAATCCCAAGGGAAGCTTTGAGTGAGAACATGTGTCCCACAAAGTCTGACTCCTTCCTGGGAGAGCTGCAGAGGGAATCAGGTGGGGAGCATAGGCCGACCCGCTCCAAAGATTCTTAAAGCTGGGTCTTTGCTTTTGTCGGAAGGTGATTGGCCTCATTGTCAGCTCAGGTGTGGCTGATTTGTCCCGTGTACTGGGGAGGATGAGAGCTATTTCACTGTGAAAGTAACAGAGCCTGTGTCCCAGGGATACTGTAGACAGTGCATTCTCACACATTGATTCAGATCTAGGGCCAAGGAGCCTCTGTTTGAGCAGTTTGTTAAAGTGTGGAAAGAAGGAAGGGAGTAGAGAAAGGGAAAGCAAAGAGGCTGTCTTATTACCAGGATTTGCAGGTGTTTTGTGAGGCCTTCCAGAACATAAGGCACAGTAGTGACTCAGGACAGGTGGGAATAAATGTGGGCTGTGGACAGCAGGTGCTTCTTCATTCTGCAGCAAGAACTTTT